TATGCTACCAGAGCTCCCAATTCTATATGTAGTGATTATAAATTTGTTTGTTGCTATGTCATGTTTTGATAGAAAGATTTCATCAAGTAGATAGAAAATTATGTCATTGCAGACATGATTTTGAGGCAGTGAGGTGGTACTGGAGCTGTGCAGTTTAGAGCTCTTCCTCTTTCCATCAAATGGCAAGCACCATGAAGAACTAGAAATTGGTATGTGTATATCTTCGTGGTCCAGCACTCATCCTGACGGCTATCCCATTTCTGGTTTTCCATGTGAGCTAAGATCTCCTCATACCTTTAGACGCTGCTTTCTCCTGTCAGTTCTTTTTTGTTTTTTTCCTTTAAGTTTTATTTATTTTGTTGTTGAGAATATACACAGAAAAACGCATACCAATTCAACAGTTTCTCTGTGTACAGCTTAGTGATATTGATCACATTCTTTGAGTTGTGCAGCCATTCTCACCTTCCTTTTCTGAGTTGTTCTTCTCTCATTAAAATAAACTTAGTGCCCCCTAAGGTTTCTATCTAATATTTCAAGTTGCTGTTGTCATTTTGATTCCATATAGCTAGTTCTTAAAAGAACATAATGTGCAAGGTAGACTTTTTTTTTTTTTCTAGTTAAGCTAAACTATTGTTTGGTTTTAAGAAGACTGCAGGGGGTTATTTTTGGTTTAAAGATTAAAGATATATCTCAGGGCAATAGTTTAAGGGGTGTACCCAGCTCCCATGGTGCAGAAAGTCTAGATTCCATGAGAATTTAAAATTCTGTTCTACAGTTCACTTTTTTGATCAGGATCTTTCTATGGAATTGTCGATCAGAATATTCAGTAATACTAGCTGGGCACCGTCTAGTTCTTCTTGTGTTACGCAAAGGAGGCAGTTGTTCATGGAGGGAATTAGCTACACATTCCATATTCTCTTCCTATTCTTGACTCTTCTTCTTCCTCTGTTGCTCCTGGTGAATAGAGACCAATTGTTGTGTCTTGCATCTCCTATTGGTTTTTAATAGTTATTAGCCATACAAACAACCTAATGAAAGATTATCTTTAGAAAGAGTAATTAGTGAAGAAATGAGACAAAGAAGGAAGGAAGGAAGGAAGGCCAGTATGGGATATGTTGATGAATTGGTTATTAATTATTAATGCAGGCAACTGAATTTAATCTCATGGTACACCTCTGGGAGATAGTGTGGAATACATTTATGCTTGTCTTACACAGAGAACAAGGAAACTGGGGTATTTTTCTCACAATTTGCTTTTCCATTCAGCAATTTGAGGCTTTTATAAATAAAGCTGCTATGAACAGTCACAAAAAAAAGAATAATTAGGGATTCATAAATTTCTTATGTATGAACTGTACTCCAAGGAGCAGTATTATTTACTTTAGGTTAAAACTTTATCTGATAATATCTGTCAAATTATTATCATGATTTGATTGATAGAGATGTGAAACTTCTCATGATCATGTCTTTAACACTATATGGTTATTCTTTTGGAGTCCCTAGATGGTGTAAATAATTAACATGCTTGTCTGCTGCTAATCAAAAGGTTGGAAGAAAGGCCTGACATTCTACTTCCAAAAAATCAGCCATTGAAACCCTATAGAAAACTGTCTATATAAGATCAAATTCAACAACAGCAACTTGAAAGATTAGATAAGAAACTTAGGAGGCAGTGAGTCTGTATGAATGGGGGACCATCGGTTTGGAAAAGGAGAGTGAGAATGGTTACACAACTTGAAGAATGTAATCAATGCCATTAGAGTTGTGCATGTAGAAATTATTGAATAGATTTATGCACTACTGTTTATATTCTCAAACAACAACAACAAAGTAAAATAAATTAAAAAAAATTTTAGCCAGATAGAAACCAAAAGAAAACCCTATGAGCACACTTCTATTCTGGCATAGATGGGATCACCATGAGTCAAAATCGACTTACTCTTAGAACATTATGGTTGAGTATCTTCTGTGTACAAGTGAAAAGATTAGTTAAATACAATCGGTTTTCTAAAATCTTTAATTGGCCTTAAAAGAATGATAGAATAAACATGGATTGAATATCATGTAGCAGGTATGTGCATATAAAGATTAAGCCATTTATGCACACATATGTATATACGTATATATATAGGTTTGGGTGACATAAACAGTTTGTGTTCATCTGGTAACTGAAAGGTTGGCAGTTCAAACTTACCCAGTGGATGTGGAAGAAAACCCTAGCAATCCTCTTCTGTAAAGATTAAACAGCAACAGAAAAAACCCTAAACCCATTGCCATCAAATTGATTCTGATTCACAGGGACTCTATAGGACAGAGTAGAACTGCGCCATAGGGTTTCCTAAGCTGTAATCTTTCCAGAAGCAGACTCCCACATATTTCTCCTGCATAGTAGCTGGTGAAGTTGAACTGCCAGCCTTTTGTTAGCAGCCTAACGCTTAACCATTGTGCCACCAGGGATACTTCTATAAAGATTATAGCCAAGAAAACCCTATGGAGCAGTTCTCCTTGTAACAGATGGGGTTACCGTGAGTTGGAATGGACTCAATGGCACAAGATAACATACATATTTACCATTTTTATATTAGGCAGTGATCAGAACAGTACAGGTGGTACTCCTGAAAAACAATGTTTTCTTTACAGAGAAAATGTGATCTGTTCACACCCTAGTGTAGAGTCCCGCAGGGGCTGGTGTGGGGCGGGGGATGCTGGGGCCCAGAGCAACTGGTGGGGGTGGCGGCGGCTGTCTTCAGTCTGCAAAGGCTGCTGGCCTTCACTGGTTGTTGGTGTTCCAAGTGCTCATTACTCCACTGCTAAAATCGAGGCAGCAAGACCTGCTCTCCCCTTACAGACACTGTAAGGAGTTGTGGGAGAGATTAGTCTTTTTATTTTTGAGGTAACATACCACATAAACTAAAGACAGAAACAGTGCTGTATTAGTATTGTTACTGTCTTAATTAATTTACTGAGTCCTACTGTAAACCAGGTTACTTAGAGTCTCTCTTAAATTAGATTTTAATTTGTTTTTATTTGTTAAATGGCTGTGTAGTAATAACCCACAAGAGATCATTTAGCATTCTTGAAGGAGGGAATCGTGGTTTAAGCTGTTCCTTTCTTTAAATAGGTTCACACAGTATCATATTTTCCTCTGAAGGTAAGGCTCCTGGTAATTACAATCTTAGCTGGCTTGAGAAAGTTGAAGGATGAAAAACAAAGCAAACAAACAAAAAAAGCAGCAACAATTATTTTTAGGGGCTGAAACCAGAACCATGTTTTTGGCATTGATGGTGAAGAGAAGCCCAATAATTTTGGACCTGCAGCTTTATATTCTCTCTGAGTCCCCTATTCCCAATCCTATTTTTAGAAGTATGTTGTTGTTGTTATTTGAAGTATACAAGCTGGGTTTTATGTCTGACGGGAAAGTCTTCTATAGTAGAATAGAGTCATTTAAAAAGAAAAACAACTTTGAAATAATAAAATAATTTAGATGCCTTAAGTCAGTTCAAAGTTAAAAAAATTGATAGAGTAATTTAAAGATAGTGATAGGAAGAAGAACCAGCTACAGCCTGTGTGTTCCCAAATAAAGGCTAAGAATCACTTGTGGAGGATAAGTTTTCACTCATGTTAGTGGAAGGAAAAGCCACTGAAATACTTTGGAATAAAAATATGAAGGAAAAAGAAGGATTTGACAGCACCATACGCTGATGTAACTTAGACCATATGCCTTTCTATCCTAAGTACTGATATTTTGAGTATATGCCTTTCTTCAGTCATTAAGGAGGATATTTATCTCACCTCTGGCTTTCAAGCTGTTGTTCTTTGTATAACTTACACATGAGATATAATTCTAAGCAGAGCCATGAGTCTGTTTTTCAGATCCAGATTTTTCCTATTGTTACTGTCAGATATGTCTTCTTTATTGTCATTTTTCTCATTTCTAGGAAGTTAGATTCACTTTTAAATTACCGTGGAGATTTTATGATAAGGAACTTGTCCTGAGAGTACATTGTCTCTCTTTGTTATATATAGTATTTCTACACGGAAAACTGAAATCATGTGTCCCTTCCCTTCCATACTGCTGACATTTATTTGCTGGTCCTCTTGGAGAGTCATGGTGGCTGATATGCTCATCACCTGTCTTTGGTGACAAAGTTGATAGCTGATAGGGGTGCATCTTAGAAGCATCCATATTCTTTAGTAAGATACTATAGCGGAACTTGTGAGTGACGTGCTTCATCTCCCCAAATGCACATTGCACTGCATTTGCGTTTTCCACATTTACTGAGTGCTCTTCTTCCTGACGACCTGATGATACCCCTTCCCCTCCCAGTGAATCGTGGATGAGAGAATACCCCTGTTTTCATTTAATATTGCCAGAGGATATTGTCTTTGGTTAAATTCATCTGTGTCTTCCATTTGCCCAGTATACAGGTGGGAAAAGACGTATGTACAAAAATTTTAACATCATTTGTAATATCTCCGCACCTCCCACCCCCCAAAAAAGAGAGATGAATACTCTTTAATAGAGGATTACTTATAGTATTTTACACAAAGGAATATTATGACACTGTTAAAAAGGACATGTATTCTATTTATATTGACATGGAAAATATCCATATATATGATTACATGAGAAAAGATTATAGAACAATGTGTATAGAATGACTGCATTTTTGTTTTTAAGCACACATTTCTGGATGTATTTTTTTTGAAGTGTGGATATACTATAAATAGCTATTAACAATGATTATGTTCCATGGTGGGGAGAATAGCAGGGACTCTTCACATTCTAATTGACACACTTCTGTGTGGTTTACATTTTACATTGACTTGTATTGTTTTTATAGTTAAAATAGTAAAGAATATATACCTTTCCAGTAGGCAATGTAACTGGCTTTTGTGTAGTACCCAGTCTCTTACTGGAGTGTTTTTATAGTGTCTGATGAAGCATCCTGAGCAATCTCAAATCTGTTTTATGTGCTTGGCACATTTTCTCTGGGCAGTGAGAAGATTGATCACATCTGGTATTGTGATTCAGGTGTTTCCACTGCATGATAATGAGGCCCTGAAGAAGCTTGAGGATACCTGGTATTCTCGACTGACCCTGAAGTATCAGCCCTTAGGTATGTGTCAATGCCTGTTCTCGTAGAGAAGAGGGGATTCAGAGTCAGGAAGAGCTCCTGATGAAAAGCTGTGGTTGGGCAGTGAGGTCATTTTCTTGGGCAGGTATTCAACACTCAACTGGGCAGAGTTCACTGGCTACATGTGGGGAAACATTTCTTTTGGGGAATAAGATGGGTTAAATTACCTGTTCATTCTTTTTTATTTCTAATATCCTTTTAGATGGACTGTATCATAGGCTTTAAATTTACCAACTCAGGAAATTTAGAGTGACCTTCATGACTATGTGTTGGAAAACAAATTTTATAAGAATTTAGTTTGACTTTGAATATTTTGCATTTAAAAATTTCTGTTTCTGCAGGGCCAAGCTGTGCTCATACTGAGAGAGATACCACCAGGCCACAACATCTTTTGAAATAGTTTACCAAAATCTTTGTGTGTTTTACTAGATTGATCCATTTTGTCTGAATACAGTTATAAGAATAGTTATTTCATTTATATGTATTGAGCATTACTTTATGTAAGTTTATGCCAATGTAGAGTTTCAAAAATTCTTGAAATTGTTGGTTCAGTCGTATTTTTGAAGCATAGGAAGTATACGTAAGCTCATAGATTTTACCATAAGCATTACTGTCGGTTTTTCTTTAAAGGACATTTCTCTTTTGACTTTGTTCCAAATTTTCTTTCTAATTTCCATTTCTTAAAATAACTATTGTAATGTTGTAAGAGTGACAAAGATTATTTTTAGGATCAAATTTTGAAACTGCCTTTTGATTTTTTTTTTCTTGTGTTCTCCAAAAGGAAAGGTTTTCTTTTCTAATCATTTTAAGAGCTATCATGGGCATTTTGTGCTATATTTATGACATTCTTTCAGTTTGTTTTCGTATTTAAGTGGGAGTAAATTTGAATGTTACCTGTAGGACTTGTCAGGTGACAGAGTAACAGTGTGGCATCTATTAGCTACTTCCTAGACAGGAAGGGGAGAAGATAAGTTGATGATGAGGCCCGGGCATGGCTGCGGTAGTGGACTCGAGGTGCCTGGGAGCACTGGGACTGGTGATAGTAGATTGCACAGTCATATCTTGAATCACCCCTTAGAGGTCAGCTGATTGGGAGCCCAACACCATAAGAACTATCTTCTTTTTTTTGCTTACAAATCCTTTAACTGATTTAAATTTGATGTGGCTTTATCATACTCATGGTTTTACTAAGCCCCTGGGTTTGCTAAACAAACTAAAAGCAAAACCAAACCAAACTTACTGCCACCGAGTCAATTCCGACTCATAGTGACTCCCCCTCATAGGGTTTCCAAGGTTGTAAATCTTTACAGAAGCAGACTGCCTCCTCATCTTCTGCAGAGCAGCTGGTAGGAGAAAATAGCTTAAGTCTATTCACTGTAACCCACTTCTGTAGACTGATATGATAACATCATCTTTTAAAAATGTGATGTTTTAATGGTGTGTAATTAACCAAGAAATAATAACTTCAGCTGTCCCCTCTCCCTGCATCCCATCCTGGCAGGATACTTTCACCATCCAGGTACTCGACCATGTGGATGTGGCTGGCAGAGCATACAGTGTTAGAGACCTCTCTTGGGTTAGTTATCTTGTGTCAAATTTAGAAAATGCTAATAATGGTGTTACTTGGGACTTCTTCTGCCCAATGTCTGTATGACGCTGTAGATAAATGTGTTCCATAGCTGTTCTAGAAGTTAATATGTAGAATCTCATGTGTGCTTTTAAATAATTTGTGTTCTTTAGAGTGCTGAAAATTTTGCCATGACCCATCAATGTAAATGAATATCTGTGGGTAGGGGAAGCTGGATAATATAGACACAAAGGAGTCTTCTTTGGGAAAGAACGTTTGTAACTATAATAGTAAAGTCGGAAAAAGTGGGAGCATAAATAGAACTCTTAAGTTAAAATGGCTCAAAGGCCATTTATTGAGCTTAAAGTAGGATCTTAGAGATTTCAGATAAGTCCCAATGTGAGTTTTTCCTTGGGAAGAAGGCATCCATCAAGTACAGAAGTAAAGGCATGATGGTGTCTAGCAGACCAGACCAGTAGCTGTGGATTAGGCTCTAAGTTGAGGGAAATAGTTGGGGTGTACAGCATAGATGGACTTAACACTACACACTAGGTGAGAAATGAAGGTATTAAATGATCCCTGTCTGACTAAAAAATTGAATAAACTTATTTGATGATGATTGAAAAAAAAAAAGAATGATAGTTTATATGTCTGTACTTAAGATCTTTTTTTCTATACTTAAGATCTTTTTTCTTTCCACTATAGATAACATTCGTGGCTACTTTGGGGAGACGATCGGTCTTTACTTTGGATTTTTGGAATATTTCACTTTTGCCTTAATCCCCATGGCCGTCATTGGGTTGCCTTACTACATGTTTGTGTGGGAAGACTATGACAAGTATGTGATCTTCGCGTCATTTAACTTGATCTGGTCCACAGTGATCCTGGAGGTGTGGAAGCGTGGCTGTGCCAACATGACGTACAGGTGGGGCACACTGGTCATGAAGAGGCAGTTTGAGGAGCCCCGGCCAGGATTTCATGGGGTTCTTGGTATCAATCCTGTCACCGGCAGGGAGGAGCCGCTCTACCCCAGCTACAAGAGACAGATGCGCATTTACCTGGTCTCTCTGCCCTTTGTGTGCCTCTGTCTCTATTTCTCTCTGTATGTCATGATGATTTACTTTGACTTGGAGGTCTGGGCCTTGGGGCTACATGAGAACAGCGAGTCTGAGTGGACCAGTGTCTTGTTGTACGTGCCCAGCATCATCTATGCCATTGTGATCGAAATCATGAACCGCCTCTATCGATATGCTGCTGAGTTTTTAACTTCATGGGGTAAGACTTACAGCTTTGTCATCTTATTTGCTTGTGAGATATATTGCTTACATCATAAGATTCATATACCTGTTACCTTGCAAAGAAGTGAGTGTTGCTGTTGGCTCATTATATAGAGATGTAAGCAAAAGTTCATTGGCTCTGTGAGCTCTGATGATCTCCATATCGTGGTTATCACAGTCCTCATGCATTCTCAGTGCCCTACTAAGCACTTCATCTACAGTCTCTCATTTCCTCTCCTTGGGACACCAGACATAGAAATTTTTTCACCATTTTACAGATAAATATACTGAGCTTACCAAGGTTCAGTGTTTTTTCCTCTCATATCATCTTTCATCTAATCAGTAGACAGTAGAGCCAGACCTATCTGTATCCAAAACCTGTGCTGCTAATTTTATAATACTATGTTTCATGTTGAGAATAGAATAGCTTGAAATGATCTTTATGATACTCTGATTGAATGAACTATAGCTAGTATTTTACGACATTGTCTATTTGGTGTGAAGGCACTGAAGACTGCCATTGACCCAGTGAAAGTGGCATGCATCTAGGTAAAAAAGGAACTTGGCTATAGTTTAAAAATGGTTTTAGTAGCCCATTCACTATTTATTCATTTGAACAAACAGACATATCATTATTCCTAGAAAGAAATCTAGGTCTTGACTTCATGCACCCTAAACATGTTTTAAGTTATTTTTATTAGTCATATAAAAAAACAGCTATTGTTTATTGAGTGCTTTCCTTTTGTTGATGTTAGGCTAAGATTTTATATTATTTCTAATCCTTCAATGACCCTGGGAGGAGGGTGCTCTCAGCTCTGTTTTATAGGCAAGGAGGCTAAGTGACAGAAAGGTAAGTAGCTTGCCCAAGGTCAGACAGTGACTGAGTAGCTAAGGTGGGGTTTATCCCACTGCCTATCTGTGCAAGAACACACTGCTCTTTAGGATCTTCTTCCTTATGCTTTTCTTGCTGTCTTGAGATTTGCACAGTGTCTCCTTTTCCTAGATGATGGTAGAAATTTGATTTTCTCTTTAAGTTAATCCCAGTAAGCCACACATACAGAGAACTATTTGTTCCCCCAATCATTAAAGATTGCTAGTCAGTTTTTATCATTACCACTTATTCAGCGTCTTTTTATGGGGGGGGGGTGGCTGTGTGTGGGATCATTTGCCAATACTCCCCAGATTTCTTCTGTAGCAGTAATATTTGAAAAATAATTTCAGACCACAATGCTATTGCAGTACCTTGAAAAACTGTGCCCTGAACTTACTTTCTTCCTTTTTTTTTTAAGATGTTCTTGGTGGTAACACACTCACTGACTGAGGCTGTAGTCTCAGCATATCTTACTTTACTTGATGACCGTGTTGCCATGTTGCTTTATTATCTGAGAGAAATTACCTAACCCCCCCTTTTTTTTTCTTTTAATATTTTAGAGAATCACAGATTGGAATCTGCCTACCAGAATCATTTAATTCTGAAAGTTTTAGTGGTAAGTATAGTTTTTTTTTAAATATACAAATCAATTTTTAATTATGAAACTGGTGTATACTATTTGATACTTTGGGATGTAAATATGAAGACTTGCTTCCAATTTAAGATTGCAGATAACATTTTGTGAAAGTAGGCAAGGAATGATTAGTAAATATGTTTATATATACAGACATTCAAAAGTTGTAAATGTACATGCAGTGTAAAAATTAAGTATATAAAAATTACGATTAGACTGTTTTGACCCTATCACTGTTTAACAGTCCTTCTAATTACCAATAATTTGTTTCATGATGGAACATAAAAATTTTTTGAACAAATTTTGTAAAATTTCTGTTAGAGAGATGCAAATCAAAACAACAATGAGTTGCTATCTTGCCCCAGCATTAGTAGCAAAATTCAACATGACCAAAAATAACAAATGCTGGCGAGGATACAGAGAGATTGGGACTCTCATACACTGCTGGTGGGACTGTAAAATGGTACAGCCACTGTGGAAACCAATATGGAAATTCCTTAAAAAGTTGGAATTAGAAATAACATTTGACCCAGCCATTCTATTAGTAGGTATATATCCTAAAGAAGTGAGAGCCATGACAAGAACAGACATATGCACACCCATGTTCATCACAGCACTATTTACAATAGCCAAAAGATGGAAACAATAGTCCATCAACTGAGGAATGGATAACTAAACCATGGTACATGTGTACGATGGAATATTATGCAACCCTAAAGAATAACATGGAATCTGCAAAACACCACATAATGTGGATGAATTTGGAGGACATTATGCTGAGTGAAATAAGTCAATCACAGAAGGACAAATATTGTATTAGTCTGTTATTGTAAAAGTCAAGGAAAGGTTTATCTATGGAAGGAAATTTTCTTTATTGGTTACTAGGGGTAAGAGGGGAGGGTAGGAAACACTGTTAGATAGGTAGAGATAAGTATTGATTTGGGTGAAGAGAAGGGCAATGTACCAACTCATGTTGATTATGAGTGATCAACATGGTGGCATTGAGGAAGAGGAAGACACAGAGAGGTGCATGGGAGGTACAGATAACAAAGATGAACACTTTTGCACATACAGTACTGCATTATTAGAGAAGGCAAACATAGGTATAGAGGTGGATAGATGGGTGGGCAGTCTGAACTATTAGGTATGTCTGTGCAGCAGAGAGTGTACTCCAGACCATGTATAGGGTTGGCAGACAATGGTTCTATAAGTGTATCTGTATGTTCTATAAGAATTCCCAGGTGTACAGTAGAGCTGACAAGGGACAAGGTTGTAGTCACTTCTTGGTCACAGCAAGCTAGTAGTTGAACCCGGGGACTCAGGACCATAGTCGCAGGGGACATCAAGCTCAAGTAGCATAACATACTACACAAAACATTGTTCCACCTCCTACTTTGGCAAGTAGCCACTGGGATCTTAAGAGCTTGCAGGCATCCATCTAGATGCAATGATGGGTCTCTCCTCATCCAGAGCAAAGAAGAATGAAGAAAACCAAAGATACATGGAAACAATTAGTCCAACCGACTGGTACACCATGCGGTCCACAACCTATACAGCTGTGAGACCGGAAGAACTAGATAGTGCCCGGCTACCACTGTCAACCACTCAGAAGGGTATCTATGTAGGAGATCCTGGATAGAGAGGGAGAACAATGTAGAACAAAACTCAAAATCATTTGGGAAAAAAAAGGGGGGACCAGGTTTGCCGGTCTGGTAGATCCTGGTGGAACCACTGAGACTATGGCCCCTAGCTGCCCTTCAGGTCTGGAAATGAACCCACACCTGTGGCTTCCAGCCAAACAAAAGACAGACATATGAGGTGAACATTTACTCTAGGTAGATACACTTCTTGGAGGGAACAATCATGGGAGAAAGAAGGGCTGTTTATGCATAGGGAGACAGTTCAGCGGGCAGAAGTTCATGGAGGGATGGACACAGGAAAGAGGTAACTATCAGGAGGAAGTGGGAGGGGAGTTGTTGCATTGGGGTAAATTGTAGTCAATGTCAAAATGTATGTGAACTGCTATATGGAAAGTGAATTTAATTTGCTCTGTAAACTTTCACCCAAATCACAATAAAAAAAAAAATTATAAAATCTCTGAAGCCCAAGAGGTCCCCATCATGTCATGATGGGTAAGGGGAAAGAGACAGAGAGAAGCATTGTGTAACCTGCTTGCTGTTTGTGTAGAAGTTCACATAGTATGTGCAATAGTTGGAGCTGTGTGTCAACTTGGCTGGACCACAATTCTGTGTGGTTTAAGCAATTGTGGTGTGGGTTATTCCCATGATGGGATCCAATGTATATGTTTTGAGCAACCAATCCATTGAAAGTGATTCCCTAGATTCCTTAGGGAGGGGTATGGCCTGCTTCCAGTATATTTATGAACATCCTGGGAGAAGAGACACTCTTTTGTGGATCGGGATTCTGTTGTGCTGCCTACAGCTGTCCGTGAGTGAACAATCCACCATTTGGCCTGGAGATGTTGGATTCGTCATTTGTTGGAGTCAACAGCTAGTATACTGCCCGCCAACCTTGAGGTCCTCGGCCCTTGTAGCTGCGAGAGTTGGGAAGAGCCTCTAGCTTGACGTTTGATCCAAGAACTTCAGACTTGCCAGCTTCCATAACTGTGTGAGCCATTTTCCTAAGATAAATTTCTCTTTCTCTCTCTATATAAGATTTACTGGTTTTGTTTCTCTAGAGAACTCAGTCTAACACAGTATAACTTCACCATTATTATAAATAATAATGCTGCTATTAAGCAGCTGAAAGTACTTCGTTTATCAGGAAGTTGCCTTGGCCATCTGGAACATAATTAAGAATCAAGAAATGAACTTTCAACTGAAATTGATTTAACACAATCCACATACTTTACTCCCAAGAGAGGGTTCCAGGCCCTCATTTAGAAAGCATCTTTATTCCAACTTAGAAATTATTTAAAGAAGCTTATATATCTGGTTTTTCAGTCTTTAAAAGATCAGAAGCCACCAATTAGGAGTATGTTTAGATTATCAGAAGGTGGTCAGTTTATACAGGCAAGAGCAAGTGAGGAATAGAAAACCTTTCATAAATAGACGATTTGAATGAAATGCTTTCAGCAGTTGACACAAGTTAGAAAAAGGGTAAACAGCCATACATATTTTAAAAGGTTCTGAAGCCTTCATCCTAGCACTGTGAAATAATTAATATTCAAAGTGTTAGTGCTACATTGCACAATACTACTAAGGAAAAGGAAGAAGACACGGAGAGGTGCATAAGAGGTACAGATAGCAAAGATAAGTACTATTACATATGCAATGCTGTATTAACAGTAATAACAAACACTAATGTACAGGTAGGAGCTCTGGTACCATACTGCCTAAGGCACTTGACTGCTAACCAGAAGCCTGGCGGTTCAAACCCACCAGCCACTCCTCGGAAGGAAGGTTGGGCAATCTACTTCCATAGTGATACTGCCTCGAAAACCCAAGGAGGGGTCACTGTGAGTCAGGTCCAACTCGACGGCACATAAAAATAACAATAATCTACAAGTGGATACTAGGTAGACAGGTAAGAAGATCAGGTATAGGTAGGTGACAGGAATATATCCATGACCATATATAGGTTTGGTAGACGATATTCCTGTATATGTATTTATGCTATAAAAAAGTCCATATACATTATAGAGCTAACAGGGGACAAGGTTAGGATAACTTCTTATCCACAACCAAGCACCTTGAGGGAGTGAGTCACTAGACCTGTGGGCTTGGGACCATGGTCATGGAGGACATCCAGTTCAGTTGGCACAGCATAGTACACAAAAATGTTGTCCTACATCCTACCTTGGTGAGTAGTGACTTGAGTTTTAAAAACTTGCGAGTGCCCATCTAAGATGTAACTATTGGTTTGTCCTTGTCCGGAGCAAAGAAGAGTGAAGAAAAGTAAAGACATATGGAAACAGTTAGTCCAAGGAACTAATGGACCATAGGAACCTCAGCCTACATGACCTTGAGACCAGAAGAACCAGATGGTGCCCAGCTATCAATGCCAACCACTCAGAAAGGTATCAAAATTGGAGAGCCTGGATGGAGAAAAAAATGTGTAACAAAATTAAAAAACAAAAAAAACCAGGATTACTGGTTGGATAGTGATGGTGAAAGCCCTGAGACTATGGCCCCTAGTCATCCTTCAGGCCTAGAATTGAACTTACTCCCATGGCTTAGTTCTCAGCCAAATAATTGACAGGCCTGCAATCCTTTGGAACAACTATACCAGGGAGATGCACACCTAAGAACAATTAACCATGGGAGATCAGAAGGGCAGCATTTGCACAAGGAGAAACCTAGGGAAGCAGGAATGCATAGGTAAGGACAGAGGGAAAAGGTACAGGAAGGAAGTGGGAGGAGAGCTGTTACATTGTGGGGATTGTGATTAGTGTTACAAAACAAAATGTGTGCAAAATGTTGCATGTAAGAGGAATCTGCTTTGTAAAATTACACCCAAATCACAATAAAAAAAAAAAAATGTTAGTGCTACATCAGCTAGGAAGTTATCTTCTGTGTTCTCTGTGTAAGAAGGAAGGGTAATATATGATATATTTTAAAAAGTTCATTCAAAAAGATTCTGATACAATACAAATTTTAAAAATGATTATATAATATAGAGCTTTTGTGAATACAAGTAAAAAAAAAAAACAACCTCCATTTATCTTGAAGAATTTGGTTATTTGTGAGACTTTCTGAGTCTCTGACAATGCCAGATGCAATGTCAGATGACAGCCTTGTAAAATGACTCATAAGTTAAAAGTCTGTTCTTCCTCCATTGTGTTTTTCAGATCTCTACCTTCCTTTTTAATCTTATGGGGATGGAGTTTCTTAGCCTCCCCAGGCTTTTTATTCTCAACATCATGCTTTAACTTGGTACTCTCCAACTCCCTTACTATGGCTGTATTGATCTTACTTCTCTAAAGCTCCCCATTTCCTCACTAATTAAATGCTCCCACATGT